ACCACTTGAATCATTTATTTGTTTGTTCAGTCACAGTATTTGTTTCTCTCATCCTTCCAAAAACATCATATTCAGAAGAAGTCCCCTTCTCCTGCTCAGTAATGTAACAGTTGTGCGACATTAGACGATCAGTTTTTAAAGATCCTGCTTAGTTGTGACAAATGTTATTCACATGTCAGTTCAGCAGAATAGGCAGTTTTAAAGCTGAAAAATATGTGCCTAATATCAACAGTACATATAATCAATAATCTGCCCTATTTCCCACTTAACCCATTTAAATTGGCCCTTTCAGTTGACCATGCAGAGTTGCAGCATGCAGGAGGGATTTGGCTTTTTGACTTTAGACTGCGCAGTTCTAAAAACAAACTCATTATATCTTTGGGTAGTTTGTCTTCGAGGTGTGTGGTGTAATAACTCCTGCACATACCTGTGCTCACTGCTGTTTTTGTTGATGACCTTTCTGTGTTGTTTTACTCGCAGACTCAGACACAGCTTCCAGGCAGGGTTTTTTTTTAATGAGGGGGTGAACAAATTCAGCACTCCCTTTGTCCCCATGTTGGAATTGTATCTGTCTTTATGATTGTATCGTCAGTTGCATGTTTTACGTTCTTACAAACCAGCACGAGAACGGAAAAAGTGACTTCTGTACCTTTCCTTCGCTCGTGAAAAATCCTCGGAGGCAGTTAATTAAATATACATATTAAGTGGCTGATGTGAGAGCTCTTAAAGTTTTCTCATAAATTATGTTACCATATATTACAGGTTGCAACATTTTTTTTTAACACCTCTGAGAAGGAATGAACACACGCATGCACACACATAAAGGATGGTAGTCTGTTTTACGGGATGAGAAGAGACAGTTGTGCATGATTACGCATAAAGGAAAATCATTTGGGATTTAATATGTAAGGCCTGAGAACGATACCTATTGGTCGGGGCATGTAATGAGTACATTTATATCTGTTCCTCTGAAAAGTTTAATGTTTTGTATTAACATTAATTTTTACAGGACTTTGATTCTCATCCATCCTTTTTGATATCAGTCTTTTATTCTTTATGTTATACCCAAACTCTACAGTAAATCATGTGCACCTCAGCTACTGTAAAGACAAAGTGAAGAAGCTGATTTGGCCAAAACCGAAACATTTAAACCATATATCAGTGGTCTCAACCCAATCACTAGAACAAATTAAGGGCATTGTACGTTTCTGCAAACCACCAGTATGTTTAACATTTTCTCGTAGAACAGTTCTTATGATATTCTATGAATTAGTGCCCCATGACTGATGTTACATCCTTAACATGCAGTCACATAATTAATGTAAAGTTACAGAGGTTAGGTTTAGAAAAAGAAACTTTGCAAGGTCGTTCCGATCATGCAACTCCAGGGAAAGTCACAGGAGAAAGTAGGCCTGCTTACTTACAAGACAGCTTGGGAGTGCTTCCTTGTTTACTCCAGTCAGCACATTGGTCACAAAATACGTGAGATATGTACGACTTTGGGTGCATTACTTTTGGTAGGAAAACATACAAACAGTTTGTGAGAACAGCCTGATATGTTACATTTGTAGGTTTCATCAGACGCAGAGATGTGGAAACCTTATGTTTCAATTGTCAATTTCATGTTGTGACAACACTGTGGTTACCTTGTTTGGGTTTAAGCCCAAAAAACACTAGATTAAGGTTAGGAAATCATCATGTTTCAGACTAAAATACCCTTATTTGTTGCCATAAACACAGCTGGGAACATCCCAATCTGTAATTGTGATGGTCTCGACCAGTCTCCTGCTATTCCCTCTCAGCTCAAAATCAGCTCATATAAATGTAAACTGAGCTATGTCATAAGTATGAAACCTACAAATGTAACATACCCGTGGTTTGCAGTAACCACAAAGTGACTGGGTTGGCGGCCTAACCTTCCACTCAGACAAGTGGTGTCAGATAACCTCATGTCATGCCCCCGATGAGTCCCTATTGACCCCCTCTCTTTCAAACTGGGCCTAAGGTTAAATACCTCCATCCCACTGTGAAGGCATTAAAATCTAAGGACAACCATAAGTGCTACCTGAACTTCACCACTGGAAGTGTTTTAATGGGCTTCTCTTGTAATATCAAGTGATAACAAAAGTGAAACTCCTTCTGCCTTGTATGAAGGTTTTCCTCTGTGAGTTTCTCCTGGAGTCATGTCTGCAGTTTGGGTGCAGAGATATATTGGATGAGGACACAAGAGAAGCTTGAGAAGCACCTGGGGTCAAACTGAACCTAAAGCTTGAAGCATCCCACAGCCAAACTAGGAGAGAAAACAAATCTATTTACAATCACAGGGGTTTGACCTCAGCTGCACACTGAGCAGAGAGCGAGCTCATTGGCTCAATGTTCATCTTTAAAACATTTTGCACCCTCTGTGCCGTGTGTTTTGCAACTGTCTTTAGGATACAATACATTGGTAGTGATTGGAATTTAAACGCTGTTCGAAGTAAATCAGACTTTTTGTTTTTCATGATATTTGGGAGCCTTTAATGAATTCCTTTAAAAAGAAAACAAATTAAACATTTTCTGCACATCAGGTTACATGAGGACATTTCCAAACAATGTCAGACTTTACTTCATTGCTCCCACAGTCAGGGTAGACGTAATGCTGTTCGACCATCACAGACTAGTGCTGTTACATGCTAAAACACCCGCAAGTTAAAGGGTCAAACTCACTTGAACCTTTCAGCTGTCAGAGTGAAAGCTGGAATTATTAATGGTCACTAAGCTGTCTGTTTGTATCAGCCTGTTCAGTCTGTGCTTTGTATGAAAGAGTATGAGAAAGCCTGTGGCTTTTTATTGCAGTGTGTCATCAACTTGTGTGAAAAGTTACAGTAGATTTAGTTCACTCACCTGAGTTTACCAACTGTGCCGCTGTGTGTTTGTAACACAGGTGTCACATCCCTAGATAAAAAAGCCAGTGGCAACACAAGCAACTAAAAGAACAGGTAGCTTGTGTGTGTAAATGTGTGTGTGAGAGAAATAATTAAAGACAGGAAGTGTGCTTGTTTCTTCTTCTGCAGACATGAATATTTTTGGTTAATAATTACCAGCGATAGCTCCATATAATCTCATCGAGTCTCTTTGCTGTCTTGGTGAGTGGGTGCTATGGAAGCCCTCCAGGGACAAACACAGCTGAGATAAAATTGGGATTCATTATCTGCCTCGCTTGTTTTTTCTCTCTTCTTTTTTTTTTAACTCTCTTTTCCATCCTCTCTGTGTGGGCCTCTGTCTCTTTCAGTATATGTGAAGCATGTGTCAGACTTCGTTAATCCGTCTGAGAATTAATCCATGTGAGATGCTGATTTCTCTTCACTGTACAGTACAGCTGTCCTGAGACCAGGACAACACAGCTGTGGGGTTAAACTCCTGAACAGAACATGTTATTGTTCAGCCATGCTGTCCTTGTCATTGTAAGACTCATTTAAGGCTGAATGCATCTTGTTTTTAGCCTTTTGAGACAAAGAATATCTTAGGCATTAAAATGTCACTGCATCCAGTTAGAGGAGGAAATCAGATCTTATTGAGAACCAATTAGATTGATCAGTTCTCCACATTAAACAATTTAGTTCCAGTAATGAACAAGTAACAAAACATGTAGCTCAGCGTGTGATGTAAACAGTGACGTGGGAGGGAAGCCGCGGCTGGTCAGTCCTTCTGTGATTCTCTCATAAGTCGGCCCGTTCTTCACCGTCCCCGTCATCTGATGGTTAATGGCCTCTTCGTTTGCGAGGACAAGGAGGGCGCGCAATTCCTTGTCTCCCCAGTTGCTCATCTTTACAGTGTCTGTCAGGTTTGTGTTTCCCTCTTGCTACTAGCTGCTCGCTAATTCCTGCTATCAGCTGTTTCCTGTTTATCCACTGCCAGTGGGTCACACATGCGGCGTCATCAACAGCTCTTCCCGCAAGTCATCAACAGCCCCTCCCGTTGCTGTAGGCCGCCTCGGTCTGTTTAAACTAAAGGGATCCGCCAATATGACGAGGCAGAAAATTGGGCACCTCAGATCAACTCACCAGTCTGGTTCTGTGTGTCTAAACGCTCGCAGCTTGCTGACAAAACGGCCCAACATTTGCGGAAAATCTGGCAGTGTAAAAGGAGCTAATGTTGCAGACCAAGTACACCCTCTTATAGCACTCCACAATGGCAGATGCCCCATAAACCTGTTCAGGAGTGGCTGAAGGAACGTGACAAAAAGTTCAAGGTGTCCTGGCCTCCAAATTCCCCAGATCCCAATCCGATCGAGCATCCATGTAATGTGCAGGTACCCCACGTCACAGCCCCCAGGACTCAAAGGATTGCCGCCAACGCCCTGGTGCCAGACTCAGCGGGACATCCCCAGAGGTCCTGTGTCCGTGTGCTGACAGGACAGAGACCCCACCGTGGATCGTACTCAGCTCTGACCTGTCGAGGCATGGACACATGACCTCTGGCTTACTGGAATGTCCCATGGATGCTTGATTGGATTGGGATGTGGAGAATTTTGAGGGCAGGTCGATGCATTGAGCTCTTTGTCACTTTTGTCATACCATTCCTGGGGGGCACTGTCAGTAGGAAGTGCCATTGCCACGAGAGGGTGAACTAGATCTCCAACAGTGTTTGGGTGGGCAGTGTATGTCAGGTAGCATTCACATGAATGCCAGAACCCAGCAGCACTTGTTACATCTTACGATACTCACTTTACCTTTCGGTGATTTTAATGTGGCTGATTTCTGTTTCTTTTTAGTAGTAACACAACTGGTAGTTAGCTATAACATGCTGTATTTGACCTGGTGGACAAATTCAAATTCTTCTTTTTCTCTGTCTCTTTATTGCTAAGTCTGGAGAAAGCTAAATCCAAATCACCAGACTGCAGTTTTGAGTTGAGCCTGCACTCTTGTCAGACTTTATCTAACAAAAATGATTAAGTTAAATGTTCACAGACTTTAATTTGAATTCTTCCCCCTGTCTCGTCCTTCCCTCTCTCTTGGCAGCATTTCCCGGCTGTGAGCGGGGCCTTCATGGATTCTCCGTACAATGGCAACACGTCCCTGCAGACGTCCACCTCCAACCTCAACACCGGCTACTCTCGACCCTCGGAAGCAGAGGACGATGGGAAAGTGTCCAGTGACACCATCTGGCTGTGGATCGCTGTGCTGGCAACCATCGGCAACATAGTGGTGGTGGCTGTGGTTTGTGCCTGTGCCTTCTGACAAGATGGACGAGTGGAGCAGAAACGCTGCTGCTGTCGGATGATGGGAAACCTTGTATATCCTGAAAATATATTTTTCTTCGGAGATGTTGTAATATAGCCTTACTTTTAGATTAGATTTTTGAAGAGTTTTAAAGAGGAATTTGCATGGGATTCTTCATTCATATACTTTTCACAATTCTTTTTTCAATAAATTAAAGAGTAAAAATATCGAACTGCAGTTACAGTGGGAAACACAAAACTCTTTTATTTATTCATGAGACTGAAATAATTATCTGACAGAGACACAACTGTATCTGACTCTTTCTGTTTGGTTCTACAGTGAAACAATGTTAAAAGAAAACCCCCGAATTAAGTTTAAACATAACATGGAGTCACATCAAGGGAATTTTAGGATGGCTACTGATGCAGATCTTACTTAAAATACTGGATGCCGACCTCATACTGACCAAAAAAGACCACACACAGATGGATATCTTGCATGTATATACTTTGCGGCACATTTTATCAAACCAGCGTGACAGCTTTCCAGCCTACAGATCACTTATAAATCAAACCATGTCACTGTTATGTTGCCCTGAATCGTTTAAACACATAACAGCTTGAGTTACAGTAGACACCTTGCTTACCATGGACTACTTTACTCCAGTATTACATAAAAAACATGTCCTATGTCACCCATTTTTCATTGCCGTCCTGGTATATGACCTGGAAATAACAACAGTCTAACACTTAAACCACACATGGCAAAGTAAACAGCTCCTTAAACACTTAAGAGCAGTTGAACTACAATCAGAACAACTTGTCCTCAGGTTTGCCCTTTATGGTCTGAGACTCTAAATGGGTCACGGCAATGTTTATTTAAGCCTCAATGTGAGTGCAAAATTAACATCTTTTTTTTAAATCAGCCTCTGTCCTGAAGCAAAATACTACAATTATTCATTCTGGATGTCAGGCTGAAAAAAAAACAGCGCTGGCTTTAACATATTAGTACTATACTTGCCAATGGTCAGCTGGTTACGCAAGCCAAGCTGGTGTTATGTAAACCCGTTCAGTCCTGCTTACACCACAGGCTCAGCAGAGGTCAGAAGGATTAGACAAGATCATAGCTTGATATCTTTGTGGGATCAGGAGCCAGAAAGAGATCCACAGTTGAAGCTTGTCAATGACATGTAGTGTGTGTGATTGTGGGATTTAGTCGTTAGAGAGGCCAGAGGTTTGAGCCCTGTAACATCCCGATGATGCTCGAACAAAGCGCTGAACTCCAACCTGTATTGTCTGTGCTGTTCTTTTCTGTTCTGTTATTTTTATTTTTACATTTTCAGCACCCACTGTATTTAGTTGACTAATTCTGAATACCCTGACCACTAAGAGGAATCTGCCATTCACTCAGCCCTGCCCTCCTCTTACATACTGTTCCTCTGCCTGTCAAGCTTTCCATCATTGCAGTCAGTAGGTGCATTTCCACCCACCTCTTTTTATGCACAATTTTCATTTGCAAAAAATCTTAAAATATTGCAAAAAAAAGAGAAGATGTTGAAAGGGAATAAATGATGACGCACTGAAATTACAAACGCTATAGCAGGCTTTCTTTGTTGTCTCTGGATCACAAAAAAAATAATGCGTTAAAAAAAAAAAATTAACGATGATTAATCACGCTCCGTGGTGCCTTTTGACCCGGTGCATCATTGAAGGTCATGTTTGTCACATGATGGAGGCAGATGAGATGACCCTGCTCAGCCCGTGAATTAAACATGCCCATTTAAAAAAAATGCCCAGATGGAACTGTTGATAGGAGCACCTTTCGCTGCAATTCCTGCAGTAAGGAATTTTCATATTATCGTAGTACTTCAATCCTAAAATATCACCTCAACCCAAAGCATTTAGCAGCAGGCCCGGAGGTCCGAGCTAGCACAGCCTACCTGTGACCAACTAACTTAGTCCCTTGCAAAACTGATTGCAATGGATTGCAGACCAGTTTCAGTGGTAGAAGACAGGGGAGACAAATGTGTTCAAAATCCAGCAGCTTTACTACGACACATCTGCCAAAATTAATTTGAATTGAAAAAAAAAAGATAATAATTTGAATTGAATTGAATTAATTAGATTTTTTTTTTACTCCATTGACAGCCCTACTTTGGATGTTTTACACACACGGCTGTTACCAGAACTCTTCACATAGCAAGGGCGCGTTTGTAGTATTAGTTCTTCAAAACTCTCTCTTTCCATGTACAGTGTGCTCTCCATTATAAACCCATTATTTTCTTTAATTTGAGGTCTGACTGGCTGCTCTTTATTCAGTCATCTCATTGCACCCCTCCCCTCTGCAATGTTTTAATGGCACTTTACTGGAGGATTAACACCACCTACTGTTTATCTCAATGACCCAACTCCCATTATATTTACATAACAGTAATGGATGGAAGACTGCATAATTTGTGCTACATTTGGATGGAAATCCTACTATTGATAACAATAGCAGATATAAGGCTTGGAATTCTTAGTGATTTGTTTTGTGCATCTTTAAGACAAAGGTAGACAAAAGCAGGCTTCTCATCTCTAGCTGATGAGCGTTGATTTTGCAGGTTGAAATGACAACTATCACCCACAGACCTCCGCTGTACCTAGGTAGCTAACTTGTGAAGCTAGTTGTAAAAGGAGAACCCTATGAAAGGGCTTCAAATATGTTCTTGATGTCGTGCTAAAGGACTGAGGCTAAAGCTGTGTGCCCCCACAAAAGTCACCATCTAATTGTAGAACATAGAAGTAAAGAAAGTGAAACACCAATTACCGAAAGCCCATGACCAAAACTTCCTATTTCATTTCCATTAGTTGATATGTCTTTCTAGTGTCCTCAAACATCCACACTGATAGCTAATTTAAAAACTCCAGTTCATCCGACACGCATGTCTTGCATTGAAGAAACTGTAGCATCCATAAAAAGCCCAGAGGAACCAAAGCTCCATTTAGAAAGGAGCAGGGCTCAGCTGTGATTGAGCAGTGATTTGTTGAAATTTAACAAGCAAGGAAGGTTACGCGGGGGCATCTCTTTCTGTCAGGGCTACTCTTTCCCCATTATAAGAATAAATGCATCATTAAAAAGGGTAGTGCCATTCGCTTTCAGCTCCCCTCAAATCACTGTGAGATTGTTAGTCAGGAGATGAAATCTCATAAAGCTGGTAGGGAGGAGGAAGGAGTGGGAGAAGAAAAGGAGGAGAGAGGACATGGAGTGCAGAATGAGAAGGATGAGGGTAGATGGGGTCACACAGGAGGTCAAAAAGTAAAAGTGGGGAGGAAACTTTATGAAACTGGAATGTTGTGGAGGACTCAAACCATACTCTTGTTGATCACTGTGTTGCATTCTTTGTGTGTCTGCAGTTTGGTGCTTGGCAGGTAAGCACACAGTGGGTTTTTGGCTAAAAACAGCAGCCTGCTGTGACTGAAAATGATGCTGACAATAGCGGAAAGTTAAGAGTTAAAACAGTAACACTGTGGTCCAGAAAACCAGAACAACAAGCTGAAAGACGCCACAAAACTGAGGGTAACTGCAGGGTGATCATTCTCTGTGAGGTCATCATCATGAGTGACCCCTTGAGTTGGATTTATACTTGTGTGTCAGCCCTGTGCAGAGCTTACACCATAGCCTTTGCACATGGCCTACGCCTTTGTGAGCATTTATACTTGTGCTGTGGTGTGTCTGTGTCACTCTGCAGTTTGGCATTGGGGTTTCTGTGAAGTGCTGTAAAGTTTAGTTGATTCAAAACACACTCAAAACACACATTAAACATGGCGTAACAGTGACATTTCAAACACAAGTACACAAATCGGCTTCACTATAACTCGCAGCATTCATTGACAAAGCATTTGACTTTTGCTGGACACATTTTCCCCACAAATACAACATGCTAATGTTTTTAGCACAAGCCTATGGCATTTTACATTGTATAAATTAGCCTAGGCAAGGCAAGGCAAGTTTATTTGTATAGCACAATTCAATGCAAGGTAATTCAAAGTGCTTTACAGAGACATTAAAAGCAACAAGACACAATTTAAAACAATAAAAACAGTCGATTAAAAAGGGAAATAGAAATTGAGAATGATAGTGATAATAATAAAATACAGTAACATAAAATAAAAACAGGCTCAATACATTGAACAGTCAGGATAAGAAAAGAAGTAGAATAATAAAAGGCATAAATCAGTAGTTAAAAAGTACGGGCAGTAGAATACAGCAGGTATTTAATCTAAGAGTACGCTTCAGTAAACAATAGTGTTTTTAGCCCTGATTTAAAGGAGCTGACAGTTTGAGCAGACCTCAGATCTACAGGAATTTTGTTCCACAGGTGAGGAGCATAATAACTGAATGCTGCCTCACCTTGCTTGGTTCTTGTTCTTGGAACACACAACAAACCTGTTCCAGATGACCTAAGGGTTCTGGATGCTTCGTAGGGAACCAGTAGATCAAGCATGTATTTTGGTCCGAGACCATTTAGGGCTTTGTAGACCAGCAGTAAGATTTTAAAATCTATTCTTTGACTCACAGGAAGCCAGTGTAGCGATTTAATGACCGGTGTAATATGGTCCAGTTTCCTGGTGTTTGTAAGGACTCTGGTGGCAGCGTTCTGAATCAGCTGCAGCTGTCTGATTGATTTTTTGTTAAGGCCTGTAAATAAGCCATTGCAATAATCCAACCTACTAAAAATGAATGCATGAATAAGTTTTTCCATGTCTTGTTTAGAAACCCCTTAATTCTAGCTATATTTTTCAGGTGGTAATAGGCAGATTTAGTAATAAACTTTAAATGGCTGTTGAAGTTCAGGTCTGAGTCAATAATAACACCAAGATTTCTGGCTTGATTTGTAGCTGTCAATGACATAGAGCCAAGGTGGGCGCTGATCTTTGCCTAGCGGCTAGCAGACTTTTCCTCTACTCATATGAAGCCATGGACAACAGCAACATTTAACAAAGGTAACGTTACACAATTCGGCTCCATTACAACTCACAAGATTCACCGACAAAACAACTGTCTTATACTAAACACGTTTTTCCCACAAATACAACATGCTAACATTTTAAGCACAAGCCTATGGCATTTTACATTGTATAAATTAGCCTTGCAGCTAGCAGACTTTTCCTCTACTCATACGAAACCAGGGAAAACAGCAACATTTAACAAAGGTAAGGTTATAAAATTCAGCTCAATTACAACTCACAAGGTTCACTGACAAAACAACTGTCTTATACTAAACACGTTTTCCAAACAAATATAACATGCTAACGTTATTAGCACAAGCCTATGGCATTTTACATGATATAAATTAGCCGAATGATGAGCAGAGCTTTCCTCTACTCATATGAAGCCAGGATAAATCACACACAAGACTTAAAATGCTATTTTGTGGAGGCTTTACTGTCTTCACAACGTATTGTTAATTATCTGTGAAATTAAAGTAAATAAAAGCTTCATTTCCACTGAGGGAAATGGTTTCAGCTTACAAAAATAGACAAGAGGTCTGCGTCACTGTGACATGTAGTTACGTAGGGTGACATTAATCATGGTGGTGTCGCATCTGATACAGTTTTATTTTTCGCTGCTTAAAATTTTTTTAACTGTTTTAAAGGCAATGACCAATAATTTTATTTCGTGTTTGGGACATCATCAGGCCATCAAGTGTTATATGTAAAAACTAAGACATGTTAAAATGAAAACAGTCAGTAGCTGTACGCACTTCTGTATCTACTGCTGCCATTCACTGTCTCAAATGGTAACATATGAACACACTTTCCTGCATCATGTAGTTTTAACCCAGTCCAGTCAGAACGAATCAAGCAGCCAGTTTCCTCCACTACACACATGTTTATACATATACATGTGTTTGCACATGTATCTCACTATCTCAGCCTGTGTGAGCCGCGTCATCGTCCTGTCAGTCCCCAGCAGAGTAATGAGCTGTAATGCACTTCTCGAGCTTCCTGCCCAGTTTTCCCTTACCCCCCCTCCCTCGCTCAATTTCCCAGAGGGAAGTGTCCTCTGCGGCTATTCGAGTGGTCAGAGCAGATCGTATCTCTGTGGTTGACTCTATTAGAAGATGATTTTACAGGCAGAGTAGAGCTCCCTTCAGCCGTCAGAGGCGAAAAAGAGTTTAAAGGAGCGGACGGAGAAAGAACTTGTAACATTAGTCATCTGAGATAAAGAGTGGCAATAAGGGACACATGAAGTGAAAAGGAAGATGTGAGGAAAGATAATGAGGCAGGAAATGCTCATTTTCATTTTCACCAGTACGTTCACTCATGAAAACTGACAAGGAAAGGGACATTGTAGGGAGTGAGGAAATTAGTGGAGAGGATGGACACTGGGTTTGAGGGTATAAAGCTAGAATGGAGAGGACAGCGGTGACTTGAGAAGGATAATGTTTGACAAAAAATGGCATTGATAGTGGAGAATGAAAATGAATTGGTAAAATAGGCACGCATGAGTATATAACAAGAGGGAAATCAGTGATGCAAGAAGAGTAAAGGGCACAGGTGTGACAGAGAGGAAAACAGGAGTCTAAGCATGTTGTTTTCATGTTGTTTGCTTTATGTGGCCCTGTTTTTTCTGCCCAATGAAGTGGCATATCGTTTTTTAAAACTACAGGGTAAAGCTTAAAACTACAAATTCAAAACCAGGACGACAATGTGTTTGTGGTCCTTGTTTGGTCAGTTGAGGCTCAGGTGTCCACTGTTCACCGCCACCTACAGTTTACCCCAACCAACTCCTTCATGGTCCAATCAGCAGCCAGTTTCTGTGGAAGCATGGACTTACAGTATCAACCAATTCAGTACCATCAATGTGATTCTACCTAGTGACCCCAAGCTTTTGGATTCAGCCGTCTTCATGAAGAAGAAAGCATGAGCATCTGTTATTGTGGACAAGACGATGTACAACACCCTCCAAACACATACCAGGGTGTCATTTTTTTCCATCTTACACCATCATCTCCTGCCTGTGCAGTCACATGGAAGTGAAGGATAACATCTCTGCCCTGCCAGATGCTGTTAGCACCCCAGCAACCCCAGCCACTCAACCACCCAGAGGTGAGATATTAAGTACTGTAGATACCCCTGTGGTGCAGCCACCTTTGCTTTTATCTCCCAAGCAGCATTACTGTAACATCACTCATTGAAAGTGATGAGCCAGTCCATCTGCAGCAAACATTAGTCACCATGTGCCTTTCTGCGTACAATCATAATCTTTACTCATCCAAGAGATCATCCTCCCCTAGGGCAGGTTTCTTGTTCCTGCATTAAATGCATGACGCACTCTGAAGGTAAATAAAGGAGACAGTCATGCCCACATGTTGCGGGAGAAATGACAAAACACACTTGTGTTGTTTTCAAGAGCTGTAGTTTAGTGAATACATTTGAAGCAAAGTTATGTGTGTGAACTGCGCATGAGGAATTGAGACGTTGCACACTGAATCTTTAAAGTTTACAATAACAGAATTTAAAGGGAACCTTTTTGCTTTGTTTCTTGTGATAGATGAGGTATCTTGCCATAGATTGCACTGATACATTCCCATGCAGTACTTTCAAAACTGTAAGTGAAGAAAAACAAATCCTCCATGCTGGATATGAACCCAAGGTGGCAGTATAACAAGCTAAATGAGCTAAGTGAACTGACAGAGGATCTGACCAGCAGGGAGTGCCTCTTTGACTCTGAATACATCTCAGTACTAAAGTTTTTCCTCTGTAATCCCAGTTTGGTATTGCTTCCTTTGAGGAATACAATTTACACAAGCTCAATTTTATCATTAGCTCCTTATCAAGTGTAGAATTAAGCACATTATTATTATTACTTTTATCATTTTGTTATTTAAAAACCATAGTATTCTTTGTAGTCTCTCTTTTGTGTCACATTGTACACTCTGTTCTCTTCTTTCCACCTCTTCCTACCACAGCTTTCCTTTCATGCATGTGAAGCGCACCAGACCTTCAAGTCCACATTGTGAAACCCCTCCTCTGTGCACATAAACACACACTGCTCTCACCAGACCTCTGTCTCATCCTTCTATCTTGAGTCTCCTCTTTTATGTCACTTTTTCCCTCACTGGACATTTATGTAACTCATCATTTACTTATGCTGTTACAGTGTGGTGGGTCAGAACCGTACATGGGGTTCACTTAAATGAAGACATGGTTCAGGGTGATCTCAAAAAATTATATATTGATATTTGTTTCATATATTTCCAATGCAAAAAGTGTTTGACGTTTCCTGTCTTATAGAAAACTATCAGACCATGAATCTACAATGGCAAATGTCCCTTTTAACTCTTCAACTTTTGCTCCACAATAAATTTAATCAATCTTTTCTCTGCCTCCATAGAGATGCCCATCATTGATCTCCACAGATAAAACACTGGAAACAACGAATTTGCGAAGTGACACCACACAGGTCTGTCCTCCACATATCAAACTGAGACACCACATCATGGCACTGACTTTTTTCTGATCCACCTCTCCTGGAATACAAGAAAAAAGTGCACATGAAGATATGTGTGTCGGGATGAACATGCTCTACATCACCATACAGAATGGATCTGCATGAAGGATAACTCTATCCTGTGGAGGATGTACAAAAACTGCAGAGTGATGAACATGAGGATCTTTGCTGGATGAGAAGACAGGTTATATATGGCCAAAGGTTCACACCGCACTCTTATTTATCAGCCCTGATGATAAGGAACAGTTTGAAGATTCTGTCCCTCCCCAAATATCCACTACGAGGGTGATACTGAGTTACATATTTGGCCATATTTTATGTATATTTTGATCTCAGCTATGAGGATATTTGGGGAATAAAGTTGTAGAGAATGTCAAATTACATGAATTCACATAAAATGGCGGCATTGGTTTTCTTGTGAGGACAATATGCGACTGACAGGAAGATACTGTTGTATAGATAAGCCATCCAAACTGTGATGCAACCTGACACTTCTCCTAAAACTGAAAAAGAAACAGTAAAACCACGCGAGGACTGAAAGATGTACATGTACTTATGATATACGACGGCTTAACAGTGACAGCAATGTTCATCAATGTGTTACAAAGCACATACATATTGAGCATACTCTTGACATCAGAGAGACGGAGATGATGAAACAGATGCTGGCATGAAATAGATCACAATACATAAAAGAAACGGAGCAGTATGACTGTAAACATTAGCGGCACTGTACAGTTATCAGGAGGACAACAGGAGCTGACTCAATGTTAAATACTAACATGCTACCACTGTAGCATTTTGTGTACCTCGCTCACTTAACACGCATGGCTACCAGCAGATTTCTCTCTTTCCCATTACTGTCCTCCTTGATGGAGTAAAGTGTTTGCCTCTTTACAAATACCTGTCAGTCATTTGCACTTAAGTTAAACAACTTATATTTAAGAAGTGGAAGAAGATGATTTTTTCACTCTGTTGTCATATACACACAGACCCAAACTACACACACATGCACCAACAGGACATGCATTAAATGGAGAGATGTCAGAGCGAGGGGGCTGCCCTTGGACAGGCGCTCCAAGCAGTTTGGGGATCAGCGCCTTGCTTAAGGGCACCTTGGTAGTGCCCAGGAAGCGAGCTAGCACCTCTCCAGCTGCCACACCACACTCCATGTTTGATCCAGATGGGGGCTTGAACCGGTGACCCTTCGGTGCCCTATGGACTGAGTTTATGCCGCCGCAGTTCATAGATTTGTTAGTTAATTTATGATTGTTTGTAGGGGTTTGGCTTTACATTGGATTCTTGATTCCCACAATTTGTTTGTTTTTAATCTCAGTTTTAAGTTTTATTTGAAGAATTCCTCTCTTTGTACATCTGAAATCATGCCATGAGTCACAGTTCCCCATCTTTAAAGGACGTTTTGTAAAGGTGGACCTTTCTACTGTAATATAACTTCATTAAATTATTAAGAATGTAAGATGTTTGTCTGTCCCAGCTTTGTTTATGAAATCCTGTCACAACTTATACGACGTATTTCTTGGATACAACAGTCAGTGTACTTGTACTTCTTATACTAAATCATTTATCCTACAAAGTAATGCTCTCACAAGCACATAATGACATTTTTTGTCTTTCATTTATGTATCATCATCATTTATTTATGTCATCATCATTTATGTTCAGACTATGTATGTGTGTGTGACATACTGCAGGTCATCAACTCTCTTAACTTTATGCATTGAAATGATGCGGATTTCAATCTTCAAACAGCGACTGCAGCCATATTACACAAGTGTACCGCTCAAAAGGTCATTTCAAAATGGTGATTTGAAAGACAATCTTTCATTTGAGTGGATTCAACTCTGGAATGAATCCACTCGTACTGGACGTCCTTGTAATTTACTTAATGATGAGGAAGGCCAGTGCAACTGTAGAAGACACAGTGTTGAATAATTACTCCTAATAGCTGTCACATGATTCAGGAAACACTCCTATATTCTTTCTTCATATACTAATTTGTATGAATGAAATGATGAATGCAGAGTGGTTGGTTTTGATATCTACCAGTGAATGTGAAGTGACCAGACTTCACTCTGACACTGACTCAAGTTAATTAATAATGTGGCTTCATCTTGATTCAGCTTCTTCTGACATATAATGATCACATCCTTTCCTGCTCTTGTCCAATGATGACTGCAGCTCCATTGTACAGACGATGGCAATGAAGTGACAATGGTGTCATTCCTTTACACTAGTATGAAATTGTTTTAATTAGACATGAAAATTACACCTCAAAACCTCAAAATGATCATTTTATCTTAATGTACTGTTAATGCACTGTCTTCAAAATGCCTCTGGATATAAGTTTAATGAAGCTCAGTGTAAGTTCAATCAGGAACTTTCTTTATGCTACATTCATTCACATTTCTCTCTCTATCCCGCTCCCACCGCTGACTCCAATCAGCTGACTTTGGCCGCTCCTTCTTCTGGATATCCAATCAAACTTTGCTATGATCTCCTTCAGCCATTCATGTTGCTGCTGCCAAACTTTAAATCTGTTCTCCTCTCTGCTCCTGTCAGCTTTCATTTTAGGTGGAATCGTCGCGCCGTCCTCCACCCCATTCACCTTCAGCCACCTTACCCAGAGCCCAGGATGAGGTCATTAAAAGCCCACTCCTCTACACATCCAGATCCTCAGCTCCCTCTTCAAATCATCTCATCACCAGCACCAGCATTTAGACTCCATAGAGGGGTTCCCTAATCCACTACATCTTTACCACCTCTGTGGAATAGATGATATCATGATGAGGTCTAATCACCAAAGACTTTGCACATTTCTCATACTTATGTGCACATGCAAATTAATATTCTTTTCTCTTAGAACAAGTCTCTCCTCCTGATTGAAAGTTGTTACACATTGTCCCAGTTCCAGGAGATGACAAATGGAATTCATTAATTGTACTCTGATAGACTTGTGACAGTGAGTATCAGAGACAGAGCCACAGGTCTTTCTTTCTTTCTTTCTTTCTTTCTTTCCTTCTTTCTCTTTCTCTCCAATTTCTGAAGTGTGTCTCGCTCTATCTCTCCTCCATAGTTATCCATTATTTTTCTCTATCCATTGTCAGAATGGATACAGTGGTTAATGGTCTGACTATTCCTTTGCGTGTGTGTGATTTTTTTCCCCACCTGTGAGCTTCATAAGACATTGCATAAGCAAAAGTTTGTGTGTATGTGTGTGTGCGGGCGCGCGTCCATGTTTTGGATGTTAGCACTTCAGGCTATCCCAGACACTCCATCTGTAGTCCTGCCAGGCACAGATGTCTCAATGTGTGCTCATAATTAGAGCACAGGAGCGATTTAAAAAAAATCACTTTTTAATTACTTACATACTTCTGACTTTGTATTTATTCATTGCATCAGTTAAGAACTCAAAATGATTAGACTTTACAATTTTTTTCCTTTCACCAGCCTGAGAGATGGAAAGAGACACCAAGAAACATTTTTCCAAAAAAAAAAAGATCTTGTCGTTGTTGACCTTGAGGAGAGGAGAGGATTGCACGTCATCATTTGTCTTCCCACTATAACAGGTCATCACTGGAAAACACTCAAGATATGTCTTGCCAATAAAGTTAAGCTATGTGCTGGGCTATTTTCAAGGTTGTAAAAGAACAAATATTTAAGAAAAGCCAAGTAACTTGATCTGCTGGAAGGCAAATGAAAAAAAAATCTTGGCTGCATTGTGACAAAAACAACCATCACTGGCCTCTTTGGCAGAACATTTAATCTAGCACAGGGGCCAGACCAGGAGAGGAGGAAGGGATTAATGAATGATAAACAAAGACAATGATAGATAAGGCTGTTTCATGAGCCAGAATGTTGTAATAAAATTATTTGAACTCCCCAGTCCTGAGAGCAGGGCTGCCTGACCCAACAGACTTATCTTGTGAGATAAATAAGATGTTACTTTCAAGCGTTTCAGCAGAAAATAAGACATAGATCATAATTTACAGCTCTGTCTTCCACAAATTTTGCTGAAATGCTTTTGTAGATGTTGAAGCCAAAAGATAAGCAGTTAGAGAAATGAATTATGTTATGAAGGAAGACTGTGTTAAATTGCTAAAGTGGAATGCAGTAAACATGTTAAAATTATTTTACATAATATATAATCATGTTGAGGGCGGCACGGTGGTGTGGTGGTTAGCACTGTCGCCTCACAGCAAGAGGGTTGTCGGTTCGATCCCGGGTGTGGGAGCCCTTCTGTGCGGAGTTTGCATGTTCTCCCCATGTCAGCTTGGGTTCTTTCCGAGCACTCCGGCTTCCTCCCACAGTCCAAAGACATGCAGATTGGGGATTAGGTTAACTGATCGTGAATGGTTGTCTGTCTCTATGTGTCAGCCCTGCGATAGTCTGGCAACCTGTCCAGGGTGTACCCTGTCTCTTGCCCAGTGTCAGTGCCCAATGCTCCAGCCCCCCCCCCCCGACCCCCAAGGGGATGAAGCGGTTAGGGGATGGATGGATTATTATTTTTGGAGGATGAAAGTTCTGTTACAAGAGATCTGATGTTTTTGTCTCTTTTCTTGTGTGTCTTATACACACACACACACACACACCACCACCACCACAGTGATTTTACTGAATAGCTGTAGTGCTCAGGCACAAATATGTCTATATATGGTGTGAAAAGGGTAGAGGAAAATAATGATGTAAAACTTGGCTCTCTAAGTCTCAGTTTTTCTTGGCAAACTGGCGCTTTATTTTCACCTTAACAGGTCGCTGTCACCAGTCAGATCAGCTGTGAGGAGACTAAAGTCTGTGCACCAGCAGTCACTGCAGTGGGAGTAGAGGGGGACAGATTTGTAGGTAAACACACAATTTCAAATCATAGTTACTATCACAGTCTATTTATTATCTGTTCGTGCAGCAAAATTCAACAGCGTTGTGGAAATACAGCTTCCATCGAGGAACTACATTCATATTGGACAATTCTGCAGCAAACAATTCACGCCAAAGCAAAAAAAGTATATGTTCTTTAACTAAACAGGGTGGGGTGGTGGATAGGTGTGCCATGTGAGATGAAATGCAACAAGGAGGCAGCCACCTTAAAATCTGTACATGATTGGGCACACCTCATTAACTTACTGAAATATCACAGGAACAAATGGTGTGGAGGTCTTTAGCTTGGTTGAGAAATGACAGAGGGGGTCTTGGAGATGAAACACATAGAATTTTTAATTATTCACTCTTGTTATATATCAAGTATTGCTGGGTTCAGACGACATGATGTCTGCCCAGTCATAGCCTGACCTGGCCATCCTATGGTTTCGGCTTGGATCGTGAATGACTGAGTGTCACACGTGATGATCGATCTTTTAGCCCTTGTAGTGTGTCATAGGAGACAACATTAGACACCATGTCTGGGACACCTCATGATGTCCCGACAGAAAGACTGGCATGTGTGATTTTTTTTTTTTGGTTTTGTCTTCCAATTCTTCCCATCAGTGCTTCATTTTGACCAACAGGAACACTGATCAATCTGCTGCCATGGACAACTGTGCTCCAACAACTCAGCCTTTTTGATATTTTCTTTTTATCATTATTTCTAATTCCCTCTGTATTTTTCCATTTTTTTTGTAATCTTGTCCCATAGATTTTATTAATAACTAGGTACCGGACACCAAGATGGCGACTATTCATTCCAATGGAATTGCACACCTTAGGCATAAGCCAAAAAAGTCTTCTAGCTTCCAGCTTTACTTCCACCGGATGCAGCCCACTGAATATGCACATTATTGTTTCTCCCTGTGGCCCCACTTGTGAGTTCTGATCAGCTCATGGACTTTACATTGTGATGATGTTACAGATTTTTAAATTGCTCTTCTTGGCGTGAGGAAAGTTTCACAAATAAAAAAAACACCATGGCTCAAAAATTTAGAATAGAGAGATTCATGATTGACCTTGTTTGCAGTTTGAGGTATCCTGTCAACAGTTTTATGTTTCTTTTACAATGGTGGTCTATGGGAAAATGCTTTTTGGGTTGTAGGGGATTTTTTTCGCTGCAATGCTGCAAGGCTGAGCGGCTTTCCAGGGGACCTGAAATTAATGCATCACATCGTCATTTCAAACATAACGCTTCCATTATCTGTTTGAAATTAATATTCCTATATCATTTATCGAATGCCTCCTAATTTTGAAAAATATGAAACATCTGCAAGAAGTTGTGGAGAATTCAGGGACTTCAAATGTAGCTCCTGCCATCTGGGGGCACTTTTTACATAACTACAAAAACAGTACGGCTTGAACATGAACAACCACAGTGACTACTACCACTACTACTACTAATAATAATAATAGGACAAGAATAATTCAGTAACATCATACATGTCGTTAAAGATAACCATGTCTGTTTCGTCTATCAGCCAAGACACAGCAAGATTTAATGACTCCATAATCTGACATAGTGACTGTCAGCACGGTTGA